GTCCTCTGACTCACACGTGTGCAGTGTGATATGTGAGCATCCACATAGACAGTATTTTAAGAGGTCTCTGCAGTTTGGGACTTTGTTTTTGCATTGCTGGGGATCAGACTCAGGGCCTTGCAAATGGTAGGCAATCAACGTTGCCACTGAGCTCAGTCCCTAAGGCCTGGCAATCTTTTTAAAGGGTAGAGGAGCAGAGAACCAGGTTGGTTCTTTGTCTCGAGATTAGGGTATTACTTGTGTCTTCTGTAAGTGTTTAAAAAAATTATGGCCCGGAGGTGGTGGCGCACGCCTCTAATCCCAGCAAGCACTTGGGAGGCAGGTAGGTAGATCTCTGAGTTCGAGGCCAGCCTGGTCTACAGGGAGAGTTCTAGGACAGCCAGGGCTACACAAAAAAGTCTTGTCTTGAAAAACAAAGATTATGAATCTCCACTGCATTCGGTGGCCCGAGTCTGACATCGGAGCTGGGGTGAAATGCTTGAACAGGAAAGACTGTTCTTTATGCCCGTCTGCTTCCTTCTCTCTGGTTAGTGTCCCAACACCCGCTGGGGGGGAGGGGGGCACATGTTTTTTTTTTTTTTTTTTTTTTTTTTTTTTTTGCCTGTGTTTCCCTGCCAGTATTCCCAGCATTCCCACATCGTAGCCCAGGTTCCTGTCCTTCGAATGGTGGAGGGTGACACCATCTATGATTACTGCTGGTATTCTCTGATGTCCTCCAGCCAGCCAGACACCTCCTAGTAAGTGATAAGTGACGACCTTCGCCGTGCCCTTCAGCACGTGTTCCCCGTCATCTCCTCCCCCAGCCCACACACCCAGTTTCAAGGAGGCCGCTTCTTAGCCTGCCAGGGCTCCTAGGAGGGTGGGAGAGGGTGCTCAGTGTGCCCCTGTGATGGAAGCGGGGAAGGCCGGACACCTGGCTTCCTCCCCTTCCTCTGGCAGTCAGTGCCAGGCCTCAGCCTCTCCGTGTTTCTCTCAGTGTGGCCAGCAGCAGCCGGGAGAACCCAATTCACATCTGGGATGCATTCACTGGAGAACTCCGGGCTTCCTTTCGCGCGTATAACCACCTGGTACTGACTTCCCAGTCCGGCCCCTGTGCTCACTGGGGCCTGGCCCTCCCTTTTGGAAGACAGACGAAGCTTTGCAGGCCTGTCTCCAGCCCTCTCCTGCCCCTAGGACGAGCTGACAGCCGCCCACTCGCTCTGCTTCTCCCCGGATGGTTCCCAGCTCTTCTGTGGCTTCAACCGGACCGTGCGTGTCTTCTCCACATCCAGGCCTGGTAGAGACTGCGAGGTGCGAACCACATTTGGTAAGCCTCCAAGGGGCGGGAGATGAAAGCGTAGCACCCATGACGGGGCTCTGAGTGATCTGGGGCCACCTCTGGGCTCTCTCCCTAGGTTGATGAGAAAGCTGGGTTAACTCCTGACCCGTTCATGCTGGTCAGATGTACTTTGTGGTCTATCAAAACCTTTCAGTGCCTGGGACTGAACCCAGGGTCTTGTGTTAGCAAGCCCTGTACCACCGAACTTATAAAATGGAAGGTGAAGGGGGTTTCGTTTCCTGTAGGCCAGTACCTCTCCATCACTTCCAGAAAAAACTGGGCTGTGATTGGGAGAGGGAGACTAGGTTCTTTAGGGGAACTGAATGAGCTGGGAAGCATCAGAGAACTTCAAATTGCTTGAGATAAACAGGGTGGGGACTGAGTCCCTGCATGTCAGTCCTGGGCAGGGTACAGAGGTCCGAGGCTGGTTACTGTGCTAATTGTCCTCTTGTTTCCTCTCCAGCAAAAAAGCAGGGCCAGAGTGGCATTATCTCCTGTATAGCCTTTAGTCCGGCCCAGGCCCTTTACGCCTGTGGCTCCTATGGCCGTACCCTAGGCCTGTATGCCTGGGATGACGGTTCTCCTCTCGCCTTGCTGGGAGGCCACCAAGGGGGTGTCACCCACCTTTGCTTTCATCCCGATGGCAACCTCTTCTTCTCAGGAGCCCGAAAGGTACCGGTCGGAGCCTAAAGCTTGTGTGTAGCCAAGGGTGGGGGTGTCCTTTGTAATGTGTTGAGACCAGGTTTGAGGGGGCTGAGGTGGAGGCAGGCAGGGGAGAGGGAGGGAGGGAGAAGGAGGGGTGGGAACACTTCAGACCCCCGTTCTTGTCTTCAGGATGCTGAGCTCTTGTGCTGGGATCTCCGGCAGCCTGGCCACCTCCTGTGGTCTTTGAGTCGGGAAGTGACCACCAATCAGCGCATCTACTTTGATCTGGACCCGTAAGTGGCTGCGGCCCCTTCCAGGTTGCAGACGTCAGAGTCGGGCTGCATCCTAGGCCCCTGGGTAGGAATGGCCTCTGCCCCCAGAGTGACGCTGCCGGTCTGTCCACAAGTTTCCCTTCATTGCCAGGAGCGGGCAGTTCCTGGTGAGTGGCAACACCAATGGAGTCGTCTCCGTGTGGGACATCCGTGGAGCTTTCACCGACAGCACGCTGGAACCTGTGGTGACGTTTCTGCCCCAGAAGGACTGCACCAATGGAGTGAGGTCACTAAAGGAAGGGGCTTGGGGCTGGGCTTGGGGAGGAAGGTGGACCCCCCACACACCATCCCGACCTGGGTGCTGACGGACTGCCCTCTCCTCCAGCCTCCACCCCAGCTTGCCTCTACTAGCTACGGCTTCCGGCCAGCGTGTGTTTCCAGAGCCCACCAATAGTGGGGATGAAGGCGAGCCGGAGCTGGATCTTCCCCTGCTCTCCCTGTGCCACGCCCATCCCGAATGGCGGCTTCAGCTCTGGTGGTGTGGAGGGGGACCGGACCCCATTGGCCCTGATGACCACCAAGATGAGAAGGGACAAGGACGGACAGAGGGCTGTGGGGATGAGTGAATATAAAGATTTTGTATGATACTGGAGTCATCGTGTGTGTCTGGGGTGGCAGGTGGCTGGTGGGAGTGTGGTGGGGGGCGTTCGTGGGTTCCTTTGTCCAGCATCTGTGGGGTCTGGCGTATTGTTCCCAAAACCAGGGGTTGAGAGGTGGGACCAGGCAGGAGCCAATGAAGTGCTGAGCATGGTGTGAAGTCAAGCAGGTGGGGGTGGGGCCTCTTGCCATTGACTAGATGGTTGCTAGGCAACTTGGTAAACTGAGGAGCAAACCTGTTTGAAATCTCACTCCTGAGGTGGCTGCATGAGGGGTCAGGGGGAGCTGGCCTGAGCCTGGGTGGCAGGAGCTCGGTGGTGGCAGACTGTTGAGTGTGACTGTGGGAGACTAAGCAGACAGTGACAGACAAGCCCGCGCGATGGCTGCACAGCGCTCTGTTTACCATCATCCAGCTGTGGAGGGGAAGGGTGCAAGAACACGGTGCCCACTGCACCCAGGCAGGCAGAGTCAAGGACACACCGGAAGGAGGAAATGGAGAAAAACAGTTGCTTCACATGAGTCTCTAGAATGCAGCGCCAGGGCAGGGGGCTGGCTCCTTCAGCAGGCGCGCGGGTCCTGCTCCTCCATCTGTCCACGCTCCCCCTCCTCACACACCTTGTCAAACACCCAGAATGGGAGTCTTTGAAGAGATGCTGTCAACGGGGCCGGGGCCGCGGTGGGGACCTCAGTCAAAGGGAAAGGAGCAGCCTGTCGGAGGATTGGGCTGGAAGGAGAGGAATGCGGCCCCTGCCGGGAGGTGCTGAAAGCCTTGCTTCTTACACCCAAGAAGGCAGCGCCTCCCTTCCCCCAGGATAATTGGAAACAGCCCTTCCTGTGGAGTGCAGCTTTGGGGGGTTTATAGGTACCCCCTTTCCTTTCCCAGTCCCACTTCTCTCCATGATCATCTAAGGAGGGTCAAAATTCACTCCCTGGTCTCCACCTAATCCACAGAAAACAGCCAAGGGTCGGGGAAGCTGTGACAAAAGGAACCCCAGGAAAAGGGAGCTGGGCAGCCTAGGTTGTATTTTCATTTCTTCCTGAACTCCCCGTGTGACCTTGGGCAAGTCACGGGGTCCTCTCGCAGCCCGGGTAGCCCTGTCCCCTCCCGCGTCACACAGGTAGACCCTCAACTCGGCCATCCTCGGTGAAAGTGCCCGGCCTCCAAGGTTATCATTACCCTCGCCAGGCCGCCCGGCAGCAGCAGCGGTGTTTGGGGGTGGAAGGGGAGCCGGCTGCGGGAGCAGAGGGGGAAGGTTTTTCGGGGCGGATAGGGCAGGAGCCTTTCTAGATGCTAGCGAGGAAGGTTCCAACCGCTCGGGCGATCGGAGGGCAGGAAGGAAGAAAGGCAAGCAGAAACTCAGCCAGAGACGGACACTGCGAGGGACAAAGGGGGCGTGAGAGACCGCGCCGGGCAGCGAGGCGGGGTGGCGGACGGGAGGTGCGCGAGGTGAGGGAGGTGTGGGGGGCGTGGGCCGCGGGATGCGACGCCCGCTCCGACTGAGCTCCAGCTCCGGTTTTTCCCTCCACCATGCTCTCCCCCTCCCCGCCTCTCCTTTAACTCCCCCCTCCTGGGCTCGGGACTGGTTTCCTCCCTTAGCCTGCTGCCCTCAATCCCGGCGAGGCTGGGGCTCCGGCTCGGTGTCCCCTTCCTCGCTGCCTTGTCCGGCACCCCATGCCGCCGCCCCCGCCCGGTCCTCGGCTCCCCATGCCCCCCACGTAGCCGGGCGCACAAATCCCGAGGTGCTGGCGCGTGGGCCGGGGGCGCGTAGGGCGCCTGCAGACGGCCCCTGCAAGGGTTCTTGTGGAGCTGAGCGCTCTGGAGCCGGGGCGCAGGCACAGCAGAAAAGAGGGTCCTTGTGGGAGCTGGGGGTGATTAGCCACCCACCAGGGTGACTGGGGCTCCACAGCGTGGTAGCCACCCCTGGGGGGGTGAGAGACTTTGGGGGAGTTGGTGCCCCGCCCCCAGGCCTTGGTAGGGTCATGGGGGCCCCCCATTTTGGGCCAGGGGGTGTGCAAGTCGGGGCCCTACTGCTGCTGGGTTTTGCGGGGCTGGTGTCTGGACTCAGCCTGGAGCCTGTCTACTGGAACTCGGCGAATAAGAGGTGAGTAGCCTGGGACTGGGGAGAGTGGCCTGGGACTGGGGAGACTCCAGTCCCGTGGGTAAGGGATATGGAAGCTTGGAGACTTCAGGGTTTGGGTTGCCAGCTGGGAGGAGGCTGGCGAAAGGGTGCTGTAGCACTGAGGTGAGGTGACAGGTTACAAGACAGCAATGATCTTAGGACCCAGACTCTGAGTCTCACAGAGCTGGATGTGGGTGGTGATGCCATGTGTCAGGAGTTTGGAGACCTTAAAGGGGCAAAGATAAAAAGTTCACGGGCAGCGAGAGGGCAGTGGAGCGACTATCTGGATCTGTAGGAGACCTGTGTCGTCTGGGTTGAAGGGAGCCTGGTTAATGTCAGCTCCCAGGAGAGAGGTGCTGACCAGATTCTGCTGAGGCACCCACGGGGAAGGGCAGGGATGGCTGGCTCCCAGGAGGCACTCGGTGTTGAGATGAGAGCAAGTGGGTTGGTTCCGTGTGGGGCTTAGGAACAGCTCACCATCCCAACTTGTGTTCCAGACCCAGGACTAGGGAACCTTTGGCCGCACAACTTGTTGGCTAGAATATCTTCCTGTCTCCCTGGTTTGGCGGCTTCTTTCTAGCGTGAGCCCTGAGCCCCTCCGGCCTCTCTCCTCTTCTTCTTGCCTCTGGAGTCCTGCGGATACCATTGCCCTCTCCTCCTCTCCCATCAGGGACTCTTCCTTGGCATGCTGGCTTTGGGCTGAAAAGAGGCCAAGGATCAGCCACACAGGGCAGACGGCACCTATGGGAGGTCATCTAAGTGATTTGCCTCCATGGCATTTTCTGTTACCACCAGCCCAAGAGTTCTGTGTTTCAGAGACTTGCTACTTCCCTGGGGAGGCTGTGAGAGGCTGTGGGAGGCAGGGGACCCACAGTTCACCAGGCACTCGGTCTTAATGCTAGCTCTGCTGTGTGTCGCTGTGTAGCCTTAGGCACGTCACTTAACCTCTCTGAGTTTGTGTCTTCAGTCCTGACAGCTGTTATGAGGATTGGAGGCAAGGTATTTGGACGTATTGTATGCTCATGAAGGGAGAGGTAGGATTGTTTTTGTTTTTTGCTTTCTGGCCTCCCTGTCCTGTCCCAGTCCTGGTACCCTCTCTCCCTCCAGTAGGGATAATCTCAGGCTCTCCCACCTGCCAGCAACTCCTGGCTGCAGGTTTGAGTAGCAGGTGTAGCTTGAGGCTATAAATTGGGCTATCCTGATAGGGTTGAGAAAAGGCATTAGGGTGTTCTGAGACTCTTTCGGATGTTGGGTGGGAGCTGGTCATTTGGAGTCTGGAAAGATGCTGAGCAACAGTCCCCTGGGGCTCAGTTTCTCCTATGGATGCATGCACGGGCAGGGCTTGCAGTAGCAGGCAAGTTGCGGCTGTGCTGGGCCCATGGGTCCCCTGGCTTCCTGGCCAAGGATGCATCCTGGGCTCTGTCATCTGTGGCTGCAGAAGTCAACTACTTCAACTCAAAGGAGGGGAGCACTTTCCTCAGAAAGTTTAAGCCCCAAGGCGGGACACAGGAAGGAGAGTGATCTGGGTGGTCTGGTCGGCCCCTGTGCATTGGTTCGCATCAGCACCCCCCACCCCCTGTTTTGATCAGAACCAAACTAGCACTTTATGTCTCATTAACTGGCTAACCTGGGAAACTGGTCCAGATCCCCTCCCAACCCCACAACCTCTACCTCGCCCCCCCAGGCCCCCATTGCCCTGAAATTCAGTGGTGGCCTGGAGGAGGGGGAGGTTCTACCCCCATGGTTGACTGCCATGGAATAGTGAAATCACCTGGGAGGGGTGGGCTGTGTGGTTCCAGAGAGGCCAGCTCCTTGGTAACTGGCATCCCGTTGCCGTGGCAACGGCACCGGTGATGGAGCGGGAGATGGCAGTGTGCATGTGGTGAGGGCGGGCTGAAGAGTGCATTTGGGCACACCAAGGGGCAGGAGACCTCTGAGCCTGGCGTCCTGCTGCTTCTGATGTGGGCTAGCGGAGCCCTTGGTGCCCGCGCTTCCTGAACGCGGGCCTCAGACAAAGGCAATGGGTGGGGGCTGAGAACTGCTGTCCTGGAGGGCTGGGAGCCAGCGAGGGGAAACTCTGGGCACCACACCCCTGACATTTCTCCCTCGTCTACTTTGTCTTCCCTGCAGGTTCCAGGCAGAGGGTGGTTACGTACTTTACCCTCAGATCGGGGACCGGCTAGATCTACTCTGCCCCCGGGCCCGGCCTCCTGGTCCCCACTCCTCTCCCAGTTATGAATTCTACAAGCTGTACCTGGTAGGAGGTGCCCAGGGTCGGCGCTGTGAGGCACCCCCCGCCCCAAACCTGCTTCTCACATGCGACCGGCCGGACCTGGACCTCCGCTTCACCATCAAGTTCCAAGAATACAGCCCTAACCTCTGGGGCCACGAGTTCCGGTCCCACCACGACTACTACATAATTGGTACTGCCAGGCAGGGGGCAGGGGCAGGGGAGAGTCCCTGGGATGGAGGGCGAGGAAGGGGGGACCGTTGGAGTCCACCTCTGTGCCTTCAGCAGTGTTTCCCCCAGGGCATGGGGACAGGAAGGGCTAGACCTGGAGTGCTGACTTGTTCCGTGTCCTTGTTTCCAGCCACATCCGATGGCACCCGGGAAGGCCTGGAGAGCTTGCAGGGAGGCGTGTGCTTAACCAGAGGCATGAGGGTGCTTCTGCGAGTGGGCCAAAGTGAGTGGGGCCGGGGGACTCCTGCTAGGAGCTGAGGGAGATTGAGGTCGTACCTGCAGGCCAGGGGCCGTGATCTCATCCCCTCTCTTTTGTGTCTCCCCTGCCTTCAGGTCCCCGAGGAGGAGCTGTACCCCGAAAACCTGTGTCTGAAATGCCCATGGAGAGAGACCGAGGGGCAGCTCACAGCCTGGAGCCTGGGAAGGACAGCCTACCAGGTAGGGACCAGGAGCCTCCTGCCTCCTCTCCTCTCAGACCCCAGCTGCCCCGCTGTCACCCCCCTTCCGCCCTCCCTCTCCCGTTTTGGGGGCGGCGATACAGGAAAGAGGAGAGAGGATGGGAGGGTGGGAGGGAAGTGGAAGCCAAATGAGGAAAAGACTCAATTAGAACTAATTAGCCAAGTCAGTGCTTCAATCAGCGCTGTCAAGAGAAGTAGGGGGGACTATATGGCAGCAGCGAGCTGTAGGCTGGACACCTGGATCTTGATCTGGGCCCTGGGGGGGGGAGGGTATGTGGGATACCTAAAGGGCTTGGGCACCGCTGGGGAAGCCCATGGTGGGGACGCCCCCAGGGCTGGGTGCATCCAACTATCCAGATGGTTCCTTCAGCCCCTCCCCCTCTCTCCTCCCTCACCCCTTCCCTGCCAGGTGACCCCAACAGCAATGCAACCTCCCGGGGTGCCGAAGGCCCCCTGCCCCCTCCCAGCATGCCCGCGGTGGCTGGGGCAGCAGGGGGGCTGGCGCTGCTCTTGCTGGGCGTGGCAGGGGCTGGGGGCGCCATGTGTTGGCGGAGACGGCGGGCCAAGCCTTCGGAGAGTCGCCACCCTGGTCCTGGCTCCTTTGGGCGGGGAGGAGGGTCTCTGGGCCTGGGTGGTGGAGGGGGGCTGGGACCTCGGGAGGCTGAGCCTGGGGAGCTAGGGATAGCCCTGCGGGGTGGTGGGGCCGCAGACCCCCCCTTCTGCCCCCACTATGAGAAGGTGAGTGGGGACTACGGGCACCCTGTGTACATTGTGCAGGACGGCCCTCCTCAGAGCCCTCCCAACATCTACTACAAGGTATGAGGGCTCCCCGCTCCTGGCTCTCCTCAATCCAGCCCTCCGTGGGGTGCTCCTCCAGTTTAATTCGTGGGATGAGGGGCACCTGCGCCATAACCTTGGCCCCCTTGGCCCCACCAGCCCCTTGGCTCCTCCTGGCTATAGTCCTCGTCTGCAGTTTTAGGATCCCTTAAGACTTGACTCCACCTCTTCCTGCCCCCTTCCCCCCCCCTTGTATGGCTGTGGGCGCCCCTCTGATCTCTGCCTCTTGGGGAAGGGGGCTCAGGCTCAGCCTCCTTTAACCACGACACAGGTGTCCTGTTCCCTCGCCCACCCAGAGTAGGGGTGGGGACAGTCTGTCTTTTGGTTGGCACCTCTTTCTGCCTCTCACAGTTTTTCTCTTTCTCTATCTCTTATTCTCTCTCTCCTGTCTCTAGGTCTGTTCTCTTCCTCTTCCCTACACCCTCCTCCTTACATCTCCATCTCCTTTACCCTCTTGGCTTCTTGTCCTGTGCTTCTCACACGTGGTGTCCTGGGTTGGGGCATCAAAGCGTCTCTCCCCTCGGCTCTTGGCCCTTCCCAACTTTTCATATATCAACTGCTCCCCTCGGTCCGCCCAAAACGGGGGCTCTTGGGGGAAGATTCTGGCTCCGGGCACAGGGCCTCTTTCCCTGGCCTCCTGTGTACTCACTCCGGCCATGTGGGGTGGTTGGGTGACAACCACTACCATGAGAAGAAGTGTCCCGTTGTGTCCAGTGGCTGATAGCAAGATGCGAACCAGTGGGGACTTGATGGACTTGATCTGACGCCCGGTGGGCATCAGGTGGGAAGTGACTCGCTCCAGACAAGAAGTGACCAGGCCTGGACAGAAATGGCCTGGAAAGTGGCAGGAGTGCAGCAGGAACTGGAAGTGCCTTCGTCCAGGACAGGAAGTCGCACTCCTGAAACAGGAAGTGGTCTGGCTGGAATTCCAAGTGGCTTAGTCTGGGGAGGTTGTGGGGGTGGGCGTGGGGGCATGGGAAGTGGATGGTTCTTACCCTGTGGAGAAAGGGGCAGGAGGAACTTCCTGTTTCGGGAGGAAGCTGGAACTTACCACTGTGAGAGGACAGATGTGGACTGAGGAGTTTCTGAGTATTCGGTGGCGCTTCCCAGGACCTGCCCTCCCTTGTGCTCTGTGCGGTTTTTAGGACAGCTAAGATGACTGCCACTGGCCGTGGCAGGCCCAGTTTGTCGTGTTCTCCCCTTCCCGTATCCCAGTATAATCTCTGTTGATCAACAGGACTCCCCCCAGAACCCACATGTTCTCCCCAGTGACCGGACGGCTGTCTCGTTCCTGCCTCCCTCCCTTCAAACCCAAGACAGCACCCATCTTAGTGACCAAGAGGTGGTCTGCTGACTGGTCTAGCTGATGGCAGTTATTAGCACTGGTTGCTGTTTCCATAGTGACAAGCCTATAATACCTCTTCCCGCTCTTTAGTGCACAATGGGCTTCTGCCTCAGTTTCCTCCCAGCTCAGTTTTATTAGATCACAGCTGCCCTTAGGCACCAAGTCGGCCACCTCAGTCACCAACCAAAATGGTTGCTTTGTCCGCCAGAGGTCAACGCGTCTCTCTGGTGCTGTAGTTCCCAGCTCCTTCCAGGGAACAGGAAGTTGATATTGCCATGGGGGAGGTGGCGGGGTATGGCCGTCACCTCAATAGTTTTACTGTAAAAGGGAAATTTGAACAACAGAAAACAGGAAAAAAAAAAATAAAAAACTTGAAAAGTTGATGAGAAGGCTGGAGAGTGATTGGACATGAGTCTGGGAGTCAGAATGGCTTTCAAGCTTTCGGTCAGCAGAGGGTTGGTCACTTGGAACCGAGGGGCCTGGGGAAAGAACACAGGTTGGAGTGGTGAAGTGGACAGTTCATGGAGAGGGAATCATGCTTCAGAAGGCTGAGGGAGGCAACCACCTGAAGAGAGGCCTTGCTGACACACTCACTGATAGGTGCCCATTCTGTTCACACGTGGGGGGGCGTGAGCATCACGCTAAAGCCGAGCACCTGGGAGACAGCACAAGTCACCCTTGGCGTCAGTCACTGTGGTAAAAATGGTCCTGTGAAGATCTGTTTCCTGCACCCCTCCCCAAGGTACCTCTGACTTGGGGAGTTTTTCGGTTGGGGATTAATGTGGCAGAAGGGATAACGCTGAGGAGAAAATTGCAGGAAGACCCCAGGCACCCAGGCGTCAAGTGTGACTGCTTCTGTACCCGTACCCCGGGCTCTTCTCCCCGAAAAGCCCAGGTGCCCATCCCCCTAGACTCAACCCCATCCTCCAGCCACAAAGGCTGCTGTCAGGGGCATCACTGAAGCGAGTCAGCGGGGGTCACAACCTCTGCCCCGGCGGCCCTCCCCTGACTTAAGGTTCCCTCCCACCGTCTCCCATCTGCCTGGAGGTCAAGGGGTCCCCCCTTCCTCTCTGTTCACAGAGACCCCTATCCCTCCCAGCAAGATGCCTCTGAGGTATATAGGTACTGAAGGAGGGGGGCTGAAACCCGGGAGACCAGGTACTGGGCTGTGTGGAATTTTGCCTTCTGGAGCCCACACTGGAGCTGCCCAAAGTGGGGAGGCTCGAGGGGGTTTGGAAGGGTTGGTCCCTGGCCCTTAGTGGGGGTTGGTTGTCTTGGAAACATCCCCTTCTCTACACAATGGGAAGCCCCCCTCAGCCTCCCGCGTGGATGGAGCCGACAGCCCCATGGCTGGCTATCAGCCTCAGGGACTTGGCAACCGTCACTATGGCAACACAGAGCCCAGCAACAGGGCCCACTGAGAAAGGGAGGGGTCCGAGACTGGGGCAGGGCTGTGAGCGTGAGGGGACAAGGTCTCCGAGAGCTCCCTTGACACATCCAGAGATACAGGTGGATACAAGAGGGGAGAGACGTGGAGATAAGTGTCTCTGTGACAAACACCTCACCAAAGCAGCCAAGACATCATGACACGCGGAGAGACAGGAAGACACCTGGGGACAGACGCCCAGCTGGGGAGAGAAACTGCACACACTGCACAGAGCCCTGGGACACACCCCCTCTGAGCCCTGGCATCCACAGACCCCCTGCCAGCCGCCTGACATTCACAACACCTACCGCCTCTCACATGCACAGAGACTCACTCCTAAGCTATTTGAAAATGCTGGTGCCTTCCACATAGAACCGCACATGCCATCTGTTGGCTTTCTGGATACAAGTACACAAACACACTCCCAGGGTAACAACTCTGACAAGAATAGACGGGCAGGAAGATACTCCTGGGTCCGTTGGTCCAGTCAGCCGCTCCACACCCAGTCTACTGGGTTCCGGGTGCCGCTTCAGCACTGTGTGCTAAGGCAGAGTCCCTGTCTTCTTCTCATGAAGTCACATTTTTTTTTGTTTATTTAATGCTTTTATGTTCCCCCTGAATAGTGCTAGCGTCAAGCCCAGGCCCTTGAATATGCTTGACAAGTACTCTACATGGCGCCACACCCCCAGCCCTGAAGTCCACTTTTTTGTTTAAAATTTATTTAATTTGAGTATTTTTGCGTGCATGTATGCATGTGCATCCTGTCCGTGTCTCATGCCCGAGGAGGTCATGACGGCACCAGATCCCCTATAACTGGAGTTACAGACAGCTGTTGAGCCTTGTGTAGGTGCTGGGAGCCAAAACTGGGTCCTCTGCATCACCTGTGCTCTTAATCACTGAGACCTCTCTCCAGCCTCCCTTCCGCCTTTATTTGAGATAGCGTCTCACTCTAGCCCAAGCTGGCCTGAAACTATGTTTTTTGTCTAATTTTAAGACAAGGTCTTAGCTGGGTGATGGTGGCACATGCCATTAATCCCAGCATTTGGAGGGAGAGGCAAATGGATCTCTGTGGGTTCGAGGCCAGACTGGTCTATGGAGTGTGTTCCAGGACATCTAGGGCCACACAGAGAAGCCCTGTCTTGAAAAACCTTAAAAACAAAACAAAACACCACACCACACCACCCCCAATCTCTCTCTCTCTCTCTCTCTCTCTCTCTCTCTCTCTCTCTCTCTCTCTCT